TTTATCCATTTTAATTTCAAATTCTGATAAATTATCTTTTGTCAGTACAATTAGACCTACTTCTTATAATAAATGAATAATAAATGAATTTGTCGATCGTATTTTAAAAGAAAATATTTTATTTTGCGATGAATACATATTGCACGAAATACTACTTCATTTCAATTGTGACATCCCTGTTATTATGCTCATGCTAAGTCTATGGTTATTTTCTATAAGATTTTTCCAATGACCTTCGGAAACAATTAAGTTCAAATCAAGAAAAGAAGGTGTAGTCAATAAAACATTTTGATTAACAAAAATTTTTAGCTCGGTAATTTTCAATCATTCGAAATCAAAAAATCGAAAAAATTTATAATGTATTTTTAAAGAATTTGTAGTATATAAGTGTATTATTGCAAAATACTGGTAAAATTTTAATAAATTGTTCTCGTAAGATATAGTTAAATAGATTAATCTTTAATTTTAATATTTTAAAGATGATGTTGAATCAACAAAACTTCAGATCCAAACACAGATGAGAGGACGAAATTAAAACGATTATATGCAAATACAATGGAACACCTTTCAGCCCCAAGCTAGGAAAAGAATTAAGAATATTGCTGTGGTAAACAAAAAGTGTCTAAATTGTTTTAGTTTGTTTGTTCATTAATTAATTAATTCTCGTTTCCCTTTTAGTTAGGGTTTTTTTTTTGCATTGGAATCTATTCATTGTTATTCAATTTGTGATAAACAGTCATAAGAATTTTTTTTTTTTTGAAATGGAAATTTATCGAATTTAATAAATTAACGAGATATCTGGTAGACAAGTGATACAATTCTTTTGGGAAGATTAGGTACCGTACAATTTCTAGTTAAAATTGATGGAAAGATAAAGTTTGGAATCTGAAAATGTAAATATTTATATAATAATTACATTTAGTATATTATTTTACAAGAATATACACGGTTCTTGGTCGGTTTATTAGTAAGTTGTTTTCAAAATTTATATATTAACCTTTCTTTTTAAAATATATAATTTATGAATAATGTTAAAGATATCTATATTTTAATGATATATTAAGCCAAAGCAATTTACAAATTCAAGCCAGATAAAAATTGCATCAAAATAAATGCTTATTTTTTAAATAAATTGTTTTGGTTTATCACGTTAGGATATAATAATATTTCTATGGACGTGAGGTGTTTACTGGTTTAAAAGATAGTTCGGAGCAACAATCTGACTATCAAGAAACCTTTATGCATCTTAGTTGCCAATGAAATAGATGAATTTTCTTAAAAAAATAAAACAATTTATTAAGAAGAATCTGCATAATAATATTAGAGGTTATGAGAGAATGATTTGGAACAAGGAAGAAGATTTATTGGTTTTTCAACTCAACAAACAACAGGATGTTGCTCAAATTTGTCAGACTAATGTAAAGCGTTAATCATCCGATTTGGTAAACAAATCTTTGAAAAATTATAATGAGGGGATATTATACTTTGCAGGATTATTGTGTAGAATATTTATATGATAATAAAAAAAAAAGCATTATATGATGTTTGACAAAGATAACTTCGAGCTGAATACAATGCAGCATGTCTTAAGATACTTTACACACACACCAAATAATTACGTTAGTAAAATTATCGAGGTACAATTTTTCATTTGTTTAAAGCAGAGATTGCAACATCAGGTGTTCTTCTGATATTTGACGTAAATATTCCTAATTCAAAAATGAAGAATTCATAAAAAAATATTTCAATCGTTTTAAAATTGTATTTGAACAATGAAGACTTTTTTAAAAAACAAGGATTATAAAGAACATTTCAAAAGAGTTATCTTTTCAAGATGTTTACTTGAATTAGATAGACCGCCATTCGAAATTGAAATGATTGCACTTTGGGATGGTTGATGTCTTATAATAAGTTAGAGGAAAGTAACAAAATAATACCGGAAAGATTCGCACAATGTATGAAGTTAGCTACTTTTCTTATTAAAGATAAAATTCGTCGTTTGAAAATAATACGTTATATTTTAAATTCGAGTTTTGTTTACATAATATTTCCAAAGATTTTAGCGAAACTTAGATTAATAATAATTAGAATTTTTCAAATATTGATGAAAATAATCAAATTTTTGAAAATAACTTAGAAGAATTTGAATTTAAAGTGAATACACAATTAATATAATCATAATTTAGTAATATTAACACTAAACAGATATTATGATAACTAGTTATATGGAGTTAAACATTTCCTAAACCAATTCAATACATGAATTAACGATAAAAACAATTTTTATTCAAAACTAAAACAATAAAATAAAGTCCAATAAAAAAAGTTAGTGTCAATCAGTTAAAATTATCTTGTTAGTTCTTGTTGATGTTAAGAAATTTCATGATTTGTTTCTTATCGTGACGAATAATTTCTTTGAGGTAAAACTAAGGTATTCGGTACGGTATTTTATTAAAATCAAAATGATATCCCTATTTGATTGTTTAGAAAATATTGGGTCAAGTATGTTGATTTTCTTCAAATACTTTTGCAGAAATCTGAAACCATCTAATATATGGAATTAAATCATGAATGATTTTTTTAATTCTTCAAAATCATTTGATGCCTAATGAGAAACATCATCAATATCTAATAAAGTCGACAATTTTGTAAGATCCCATTTAAGAATGTAATACCAAATTTCGAATTCTTCCATTTCAAGTTCATCCTTTCTTAAAAATCTAATAACTCGTTTCTTTTCTAATGATGAAATTTTTGAATTCTTACCAATCATTTTAAACAATAATTTTTGAAGTTTTCAAAAGTACCATATTCAAATAAGATTTAAAGGATTTCAACAGCTTCATTACTTAAATATCCAGAATGATTATCAATTAAGAAAGATTGAATATAGTCACTTAATTTTTGAAGTTTATAATATTAGCTATAATCAAAATTTTAACATTTGTCTTCTATCTATATCATGTAGATTATAAATTATAATATACAAAATAATTCAAAGATTTTCAGAGGTTAAAACTGATTTTATTTTTACAAACTGATTTTAACCACTTTTTTAATTTTTAACTCAAACTTAAACTAAATTTAAATAAAACTGATTAAACATAGCATTCAGTTGTAATAAATCTAAAAACTGAATTACAATAAGATTTATAATAGAGGTCCGAATTGGTACAAAAATTTAGTATTCGATGAATCAATCTTTCATAAAATTTATAATCGATTATATATTCAAATTAATCGTTGATTAATGACGATTATTCAAATTATCCAGATCATCCGAATAACCGATTAGTTGAAAGAACTAAATCGTCAATACATTAATTAAAACAAAAATTATATATTTCGAACTTATCTTTATTATCAACAATAATAACAAATTATATTGTACTAATTATTCCAACTATTATTTTTTGCTAATCACTATAATCAGATTTCTTCCGGAGGAAACATTTTCGTCAAATAGATGAAACTGACCAAAATTCTTTAACCGGTTAATAACCAGTTAAAAATATTCGTTAACCGGTTAAAATTAACTTATGCCAGTACTATAAATTTGGCTGAATTAGACAATATTTTGCAATCATAAAAATCTTAATTCTGGCCGGAAATTGAATTTCGGCCGGAGCTAAATTCATCTATTTTAAACCGGTTAAAAAATCATTAACCGGTTAACATGTTAACCGCTTTAACTGGTTCCAATCTCTATCGTCAAATGAATCTTTCGGAATTACTTCTTGTTCTAAGAAATATCGTCATTGTAATTTGCATCAAACTCATTTTGTAAAAAAATATGAAAAAAAAAAAACTTGAAGTTGAAATGTCTTTCATTCTTATTTAATTAATTTAATGTTGCATGTTTATTAAACAATGGATCCAAAATATTTGAATATCCGATTATCCGGTCCGGTTATCCATTCATAGTTGGTGATAATCGATTAAATGACCAAATAACGGTCAATTTTTTCGTCTAATCGATCATCGTAATCAGTTGGTCATATCCGGATAATTTGACTACAGATTGAACGATTCGGATCTCTATTAGTAATACATTCTCATTTTTTTTTTTTTTTTTTTTTTTTTTTTACATAAAATAAATAGAAAAGCATTACAAAATTGGTGATAATGAAGAATTGTAAAGAACAAAGTGTCGACTGTTTATCATAATTGGATTTACTGTATATTTGACTTGTTACGCGTTTAAGAATTTTTTAATAAGTAGTTTTAGTGGTTCGAAGTTTATGAAGAGGTGTTGCTGTTATTTATTTATATGAATGTTCTTGTAATCTTTCATTCATATTATTTCACTTGGGATATACTGTACCTATAATTTGAATTTTTTATGATTTCATTTGATACGTTTTTTGTCAAATGTTATGCTCCTTCCTGTCTTACTATGACTTTAATCGGAATCATTAAATTCCATTTACTATATCAAGTAATTTGTCTTAAGTAGAAAATATTTCTATTGATATTATTTAATTTTAAATTTAGAAACGATCCGAGTCTAAGGAAACTTGTAGATCCAGACCGAATTTCTTTATTAAAAAGGATAAGATGGACGATCTATCTCACTTTTTGCGGCTGTGCTTTGCGATTTTCTTTGAAATGACGAGATTTTCCGAAATAGGGGTGTAACATTTGATTAATTTCAAAATAGATAGATAGATATTTTGATTTCTTATGGAACCTTCTTTTTTTTAAATCGTATGACTTTTTGACAATGTAAATGAATTTTAAAGAATGATAATAATTTAGACTTAAAATTCTATATGGATGTTAAAACATCTCTTATTTATATTCAATGATACCATAGATGATACAAAATTTGCGATAAAATGCGCTTGGTTAAGCAAACAATTTCCTTTTAAAGGTGTTTCAAGTATAAAAATTTCCAAAGATGAAACAAGGACCACAACAATCCGTTGTATGAGATGTAGAGCCAAGTATTACTGTAGTATATCGTGTTTAAAGAATGACTACCACAATCATGTGTTCGAATGTTCTCCGGAAGGAGGCATAACAACAGCAAGACTATCTCGTCAAAAGTGTCCATAACGATTGATTTGATGCCCACGGAAGCATCGGTATTATATGAATACGGATTTAGAAACTGTGTATCTATGGGGGGATAGAAACATGCTTTTTAGTTTATATATCGACCTTATAAAGAATTTAGGTTGCAAAGCCTCAAAAATTCATCAATGGTGGGAAAATGGCCAATTATCACAGAATATTAAAAAGTCTTATGATGATGCAGATGCTTACTAGTAGATATTACGATTGGTTTCTACAAAATACAAAATTTGCAAAAGTATGAGGGTGAAGGATCACTTGAATTAATTGCTGATAAATATACCGAACTGATCAAACCGTTTCCTTCCGAGAACGATTAAACAGTTCACACCATTTCTCTCCCACTCTCAAAGGCGTCAAGTACTTGTTCTATATTCCAAAGATTGAAGAACTGTCTTGAATTGATTTTGGATTTTGTACTTATAAAGATGATTTGAAAAGATACAGAAAGGTGATTTGTAATCACTAAAAAAATTGCAAAATCGGTGAATTCAACGAAGCTTACGTGCTGGAACTGTGTTGGACTTGCTGGAAAGAAAATGTGGTTGCCGCTGGCTCACTGAAAGAAAAATATGAACTAGTAGATACCAGCAAACAATAAATAGCGTCTATTATCTCAAGCAATACGTTCTTAACGATAACGTACCTCTGTTTCTGTGGATTATGGTTTATAAATTGTAAAACAGCAAACGAGAAAAGACAACTTACAAATACTTCGCAATTTGATGTGTTAGATCCATTAATCCCAACGACGTAATGTCGGTCAATCTTTTTGAAATACCAAAATCATCTGGAAGATTTGTAAAATTTGTAAATATTGCGTCTTTGGATCATCATTATTGTTTATGTTTTTTTATTTTTATTATTGTTACTATTACATATCTTTGGTATTTCTATCCAATGTAACGATAAATACAGTTTGAATTTACAGTATCTTTGTAATTTAGTAGCTTCAAATAAAATCATACTGTAACGGGTTTGATTTGTATATTTAATCCTGAACTTAATTATCATAATGGATTAATTTCATGGGTGTTTTATCAGAATTCTTGAAATACTTTAAATCACCACCAACTTTTGATGTTTCAATCAATTCTTGAAATTCACCCGTAAAAAGTTTACTGATCTTCTTCCTGTATATTAACCCTTCGATACTTATTTTCGTCAATCCTTAAAATTCATCATCTGTAATTGTTTATTTAATCCTAAACTCAAATTAACACTTGTTGTGAATATGTCAATGGACTGATTGATGGTAAATCCTTCATCTGTAAAGGATTTAATTTGGTTTATTTGATCCTGAACTCGATATATCAACTAATCTTCTTCCTATGGTGTTAATCTTTGTTGTGAAACGGGATTAATTGCTTATTTGACCTAAACTCAAATTATAATCACCTTTTATTTCAAATGATATTCTTCCTGCCGTGTTATCATGTTGTGAATGTATATTATTATAACCCCTTTGTTTACGAATAGATTTGATGGGTGTTCTCATCAATAATTGATATTCTTCATTCGTAACAGGTATAATTTGTTTTTTTGATTTTGAATTTAAATTATCATCATCTTTTATTTCAGTTGATGTTTCAATCAATTCTTGAAAATTTTCATCTGTAACGGATTTAATTGGTTCATTTGATCCTGGACTCAAATTATCATCAAATTTTATTGCAACAGATCTTGTGAAGTTATTTTGTTGTGAAAATACAAGATCATAACCCTTATGTTTACGGACTGATTTGATGGTGAGTGCATTAATCAAGTTTTGAAATTCTTCATTTTTAACGGGTTCAATTGGTTTATATGATCCTGAACTCAAATTGTCAAATTTTATATCAACTGATCTTCCTGTGATGTTATCTCGTTGTGAAAATGTATCATCAAAGCTAATTTCATTTTGATGCCTATTGTTGGTCATAGTTAAATTATTATCAAAAATAATTTCTCCGATCTTTGTCTTTAAATCTTTAATTATTTCTTTGGCTTTTTTATCTTTCCCTCTAATTTCTTCTTTTAACCCTTTAATCATTTTTCTGGTATTTTTCTCTTGCTCCCTAATTTTTTTTTCTAAATCATTAATAATTTTTTGCTTGGCATTGATTTCTTCTTCTTGCACCTTTATCTTTTCTTCTAAAATTTTAAATTGAGAATTATACCACGATGATTCAAATTTGGAGTATTGAAGATCTATCCTTTGATCATCTAATATCTCAGCAAGCTTTCTTCCTCCCAATAACTTTTTTAAATCATACAGATCCGTACTACCTATTTCATTCAATAAATCGGGGAGCACCAATTGATTTTCTTCATCCTCCTTTTTACTTCTCTGCTCAAGATCTATTAAGTTACTCTTTAAAACCATTTCTGCAATTCTGACACTGACAAATTTTAATGTTTATTTGAAAATTTCGTTTCAGTTTGGAGCAAGAGTTCTTTATCCGTCCTTATTAGGACAGTTCTTTTTAGTATATATTGTCAGCCCATCACATGCGTGAAGATCATTTTCCTAACAAAAAAAAGGATCTAACCTGTTGTTTCGTTGTGGGAAAACGTGACTTTGCGCAGTAATCATTATTAAAAATTGGATTCAGAATTAAAAAATAATTTATAAAATTTTATTAAGCAGATAAAGCACTAACATAAAATCAATATAATATTTTAAGTGTTATTAAAGATCGAATAACATATAAGTTGTTTACAGAAAAAATTAAATGAATTACACCAATACATAGGCAATCAGAATACTGTTATACCACTGCAGGAATTTTACTCATCACTTATAAATTAGGAACTGAAATTTATTTTTAGTGATTTACTGTATGTCATTTTCATAATGTGATCTTTAAGTATCATTAAATAAGGTAGAATTTCGTTCAAGAAAATAATTATTTTAATTACTTCCTTAATCACATAAATGTTCATGGCAATAATACGTTACGTAAAATTTCGAATGGAATATTGGAAACTTTGCAGAAACCCGATGATTTGCATCCTAGTCGTCACGAAACCGACCCAAATTCGCATCGATCACGTGGCCGCATGTTAGCTTGGTGAATTCGTAAGAATTTCGTTAATTTTTCAATTATAAATATTTTTGGAACATTAACAAAGTGTAATAAATATATTAATAAATCAGAAAGTAAAATAGAAAATTATCCGAAAAAATTAATCCAAGATATTCCGTCGATGAATTAAATAACATTTAACGATGTTTATAATAAATACATTTATTTCGTTTAGATAAATTTTTATTTGAAGCAATTATTGTAATAAAAATTTCTACTATAATAAATAAACTTATCTATTTAACTCGGATAAATAAAAATGCCTATTTTAACGCAGTATTGTAATAAAATTTAATTTCTATTGTTAAATAACAATATATTGTTATATTATCGATACATACAATCATTATAATGACCAGCCCACTTCATAATTGTAAATTAGAAGCGTAATTTCTGCCATTTCGAGATGGAACGGATATGTTTTGTGTTATTTTATCCAAGGATTTTGTCCCTTCTATATCTCTGATAGCTTAATTAAGAATGAGTGCCATTTTAACTAGATGACTTAAATAAATTAACGAATTGTTTGCTTTTAATTCGTCGATATTCACAACACTTAACCATCGCCTTAACACGGTCATTGTCGTTTCTTCTTGTCGCAGTAAAGTTGTTGTAAGAATGCCTAACCTAATAAAATATAAAATTTTAATAAAATTTTTTGTTAAAATAAACATAAACTAAAGTCAAAAAGGGATACTAACTTTGTTCTTTTTCCTCAATTGAAATGACCAATTTTTCTATTCCATCGAGAAATTTATTCGGAAGTCATCAAAATATCTATACCCGATCTTCAACCATTCTAAACCTTCGGCTGAATTAAGTTCGCATTTCATTATTTGTCGTACTAACTCTTCAAATGCATATTTTGGAGGATTTCGAGTACGAAGGAAAAGACATTTCAGTTCTTCTAAATAATTGCGACTATCCTTTGTGTAAATAAATCTTATTAGTAGCTTTTTAAAATAATCAAAAACAAAAATAAAGATCTTACTTTATCTTCTTGAAATGTCAATTTTGATTGTAATGTTATCGAATTCAAATTGATGGCATTGACTGTTATCCATTTGATGATTGCATTAATGAATACATAGCATTAGCAAATTGGAGAACATTTGGATTCGAAAATAACCAATTTGCAAGTTGAAAAATCGTATCCATATCATTAAAACATGGTGGAAGTGTAGGAGCAGTAGATGAATTAAATGACCGTTTAGAAATTGATGTTTCTGCCGAAATCCTTGGTATTATACGCGCAGGAGCTGATATATTGTCGAACTTTCACGAATTTGATGAACCGATTTGCTCAAATTCTTTGGTATTATACGTCTAGGAAATGATATATTAGGTTCAGTCAAATTTCATCTCATCGTCACCTACATTATCTGGGAAAGGGGACGAACACGATTAGAAACGTCTTATATAAAAAGAAACTGGGAATAAGAGGGTCACCCTTCAAGCACAGCTATGCCACCACATCACCAACGAGACCCCCCTCGTGATTTAAAATGAAAATAGTTTCATTTGTGGGACACGATGTAGTCCTATCGTGCTTTGACGGCCTGGATGGTATCCTTTCTCTTAACAATATTCGGACCACCCTGCTGCTAAAATGACAAGACGACGATAACTAAGTAAGTATACTTACATGATAATACCAGTATGTTTTTCTTGGATTTCTCCTAACAACCGTTTCCTGTTACCACCACGGATTATTTGCAAAAATCTATAGGACATGTTGGAATCTAGAAGTTTTTGGAATGTAAACATGACCTCGTAAGAACGCGGGATTAACCATTTTTTCGCTGAAACTTCATCAAAGCCACTTGCGGAAGTTCTCTTAGAACATGGTTTAATATCCAATAGATAGTACAATATTCAATAAAACTTATTCTTTTTTTTGTATTTTAAGCATTTTTGACTGGGACAAACTGACTATAATATGTTTTTTTTTATAAAAAATAAAAGGTTGTGGAAAAGTTTCAGTAAAAAAAGGAGAGAAGTCGTTAATTATAAAATATTACGTGATACCGGATAATTTGTGACCAATGTGAGTGACGTCAAAAAAATTTCCCAAATGATCGGCAAATTGTAAATTCAAAATTTGGAAATGGTTAAACCCCAGTTCACGTCGATATTATTCATAATAAATTCCGAACTTTATATATTTTACCTTTTAGGGATAGCTTCACTTTCAAAGATTTTACATTAAATTCTTAAAGAACAAAGTCCTCCTGGTCCTGCTCCAACAAAAAAAAAAAAAATTGCTAAGCACAATTTGAAGATATTTTTTAAAACAAAATGATAGAATATAATATTAAAGTTTGTATATTTTCTCCAGTTTTGTCTATATTCAAACAAGAAATTTATTAATAATTCTAGTAATATTTCTAAAAACAGCATGATCTTTATGACCAATAAAAATATTTGCATAATCAAATAAATATATCAATATACTTTTTTAAACAATTATATTCTCTCTTCCAACACTTTGTATATTTTAGTATAAATAACAAAAAAAGTGAAATGAACTTTTTAAGATTCATAACTTGTTTATACTTTATACATGTTTCATTAATCTTACAATGTTTTTCTAACAACGCTAATGATAACCAAAAAAAGTTTTTCTGCATTAGCATATAACTTTAATTATAAGGTAAGTTTCATATCCATGCTTACACCTAATGAGTTAATTATTCAGGGGTATACTAGACATCCTTTAATTGATACCTTTATGTAATCATCTCTAATCAATAAAAAAAACTTATTCTTATTGTCTGAAGCGTAAGCATAGGATACTTCCTTTCTACTGCAAACCATGCATATCCTGTCTGTCTGTACGTATATATAATCAATAAACTTGCTTGATCTCATGCGATATTTTGATGCATAATTTTTGTTTATGTATAACAATTAATTTTTCTTTATTTGAAATTAATTTTTTTATTTAAAAAAATAATTTTTTAATTATATCTTTAAAATATAATAATTTCTTGATTAAAAATTAAAAACAATAAAAAAGAAAATAATAATAAATTAATTATTTGTAGTGTATAAATTTTATCATTGTAATATTATAAATATAAATATAAATATCTGTAAATTTACGATTATTATATTTTTATTTTTATTGATAATTGCCTATAAAATTGTAAATATTAATGCTTTGTGATATGCTGTGAAAATGAAAAATTGAGCAGATAAGACAGTTAATCAGAGTGAAATTCGTTATGCATATGATAAAGAGAATAAGTGAGTAAAAAGAGCTTATGAAACTACAGAATAGCGTGAATTATGACTGAAAAAGGATCATGAACATTATCATAAAAAAAATCCCGTATTCTTACTGATAACATTAATCAATAGCAAGATGAAGCTCATACTCAAGATATTGATGGAGGTCTCCTTCCTGAATCAGATCGAACTCTTCTATAAGACTTTTGTTTGACAATTAATGCTCTCAAAAATAATCATTGTCCTATATGTAATGAACATTTTCCTTCTATTGAACTTGTAAGAGGAATGTATCATCAATACTATTATGATAAAAATACAATAAAAAGTTTTTCGCATTAAACAATATGGACCCAAGTAAAGTTTCTGAGGATTTACGTGACCTTACTGAGATAAAAGAGATGTTGATTGCTCAAATTTTTCCAATTATTTCAGTATATCGTCTTCGTGGCAGTCAGTATGCGTACTATAATAATGTTATCAACTTTCCATAAGATGTATTAGAATTTGCTACTCGCCTCTCTCAAAATTCATCATCACTTGATATTCTTATTGTGTGATGTAAATCTGTGAATAGTGCAGCATTTAAAGATTTTACCATTCGGCATACCAAAGTTTCTTGCGCAATTTATTGGTTAAAAAAGAATAACCATTATTATACTAATATTATTATTGATGAAGAAGTATTGCAATCATTACCTAAAAATGGCCCAATCAAGGATCACCTTTCTCAAATCGAATATATAGAAAATAATTTTGACAATGATAATGACAATCCCGAAGAATCAATAAGTCATGAATTTGTTTTCACTCTACTTCATCTCCTAATAAAGATCACACTATTACCGACACTCTCAACAAAATGCAAAATAATGATAGTCCTATTATGTGGCTGAATATAGATGAAAATCCCATTAATGAATTTCAAACTCTGGGTATATTGCATATGCTTTTCTGACTTTATATCTAACTGGAGATGCTGATCTTCATTTAGAACATGCTAGAGATATCAAATCTGCTGAATATTTCTCTCATTTGCTAAAATATAAAGTTGGAAGATTTGCACGTCACTCTCGCTGGCACTACTTTGCATTGAATTTGCAAATGCGATAGAGAGCATTGCAAGAAGGAAAAGATTATGTAAAGCAAAGCTTAAATAGTCAACAATGTACTGTTGTAGATGTACAGAAGATGGTCAATTTGGATAGTCATCTAGCAGAAATGATCATACGATTTGGTGAAGGTTTATGTGAAACTCGACAGTTTTAGATTAGGTGAAGATATAAGTTAGCAGATATAATTAGACAATTAGGATATCAGGAAATGATTTTTTTTACCTTTAGTACTGCAGATTTGCATTGACTGGATCTACATAATCTTATGTTACATAGTAAGAATCAGAGTTTGTTAACAGAAGAAGATGTAAACAGACATAACCATCAGAACTTAATCAATAATCCTATTATTACTGCGTGATTTTTTGAAAAACATTTTAAAATTTTCTTAGAGAAAGTGTTAGTTTCTAAATGGAATCTTGAGAATTGGTAGTATAGGTTTGAGTGACAAAATCGTAGTAGTACACATATACATTATATAGGAAAAAAGAAAGATACGCTAATTATTAAATAGGAGATAATGAAAGAAGATGAAGAGATAATGAATAAAGTTATGAAGTACCTCAATTCACTAGCTATTACGATTAATCCTGATCTTGATGCGTCAGCTCCTGAACACCACCCCTGTCAGATACATCCTGAAGAGTTATGTGATGACTTACAAGATTATATCGAATTAATAAATAAGATACAACGTTATATATGATACAATCTATCATATTGTCTTCGTATAGATCGCATAGGATAGAAATGTTATAGATTTAGATATCCAAATGAAACTACAGAAAATACTTACATACGTGATAATAACAGACAGTCTGAATTAATAACAGTGAGAAACAATCCATTCATAAATCTACATGACTGATTACAACTTTAAGGTTAGCACATGAATGTTAACTTAAAACCAATTCTCATTATGAATACTGCTTTACAATATATATTCAAATATGCGAGTAAATCTGAATGGTGATCTGCATCTTTTTCAGAAATATTGAAAAGGATTCTTAATAACAGCAAACCTAATGAATTAGGACTGATAAAAACTTTCATCAAACGATAAAGTTGGTAAAACTGTACAGTCACTTCTACAAAAATACTAGAATAAACCTGTTGAACTCAAGGATCTTTCACTCTTTCAACTTTACTTAAACTACCATATTTAGAAAGGTCAATGAAAACAATGTAAACGTGAAAATATTTTACGTATATGGCTACGACCTTTATCTCAAATTGATGAATCCCAGTGGAAAGAATTTTGTCGTATAAAGATTCTTCTTTATGTTTGTCATCGTGCCCTTTATGAATTAATCGAAAATTATATTATACCATGATCAAAACTCTTTTATCGCTATCGTAAGATCATCAAAAATAACCCTGTTGACTTGCTTGATCCTTCTGTAGAAAATTTAGAGAACGATTTGAATGATGAAAAAAGTGATCACGAATATGAAAAACTTGAAGACAAAGAACAGATACGATCTGATTAGATATTCTTATTAGAAATGAGACTAAATACTGTTATAGATAATTCTTTTGAATTAGGTTTGCATAACATTAATCAAAATTATGATTGGATCAGTGATGTTAGACAATGCTATAATGATATTGATCTTGCAGACTTACCCAACTTTATACAAAATATTGCAATTGTTACATTGCTTAAAATGAAAATGTTGCTGATTGTACTGTAAATAGTCATACATTAAATGAAAAATAGAAGATAATGTTCGAGTAGATCAAATCTCAATATAATGCTCTAATCTTGAATTCTGGTAATGTTAAACCGCTCAATATTATCATTATGGGAACTGCAAGAATAGGTAAATCATATTTAATTAATATAATTCATGATTATTTATGAGAAATTGAAAGGAATCATAATATAATTACGCATTCACCTATTCTCATGCTTGCACTAACTAGAGTTGCAGCATTCAACATTTATGATACAACAATCTATTCAGCATTGTCTATTCTGATATTATGTAGTAATTTTGAGTTAAACCGTGATAGGCTAAAAAAATTACAAAAAAAATTAAAAGGAATAAGGTATTTTATCATCGACGAAAAAAGTATGGTTGGATGTCATATGCTTGCATTAATTGACATGTAAGTACATCAAACCTTTTCTGAACAGCAAAATCAAGTCTTTAGAGGCTGATTGATTATTCTTATTAGCGATTTTAGTCAATTCCTGCCAGTTCTTGACAAACCTATATACTCACAAATTTCTTAATGCGATCAGTTATCAAATGACAGCATTACTATCTATAGCCAATTTCAGGAAGTATATAAGCTTAACTTTATTCAGTGTCAGTTAGGGGATTCTAAAGATCAACATAATTTTGAGCCATATTAATGAGAATATGAGATAGTGAATCTATA